TAGTCTAAATTTGAAGAACTTTTCAAGTAAAAATATTCGGTTAGGCAAAGAGGTTTCAGTATACAGTTCATCTAATTTATTCCAAAGAACTTTAGCACTTTCTAAAATTCCAACTTTTCTAATCACAGAGTCAGATAAGTTCAAATAAATCACAGAACATGCATTTTCATTCATTTCAGCCCTTTTCTCTTCTGTGTCAGAAATTAAATAGGTTTCGCCAACTGCTTTAAAACATTTTTGTTGTATTAAAATACATTTAATTTTTTGCTTCCAAATGCTAAAATCAGATTTTCCATTAAATGGAGCCATACCATACTGATTATAAGCAGACATTTTCACAAAGAAAAATAAGCAACAAAAGAAAATGTAAATTTTGCTGAAAAACAATTTAAATATTTATAAGGCTACAACTATACGGAGCAACTAGCACGAACCATGGGGAGTATTAATGAGCACCAAACTCAACTTCAAACCCCTTGTTCTTCCGTATAAGCGCAAATAAATAATAAATTTTCAGCACAACACAATACAACAATTCAAACAATTTTAACAGCAATAATAAACCTAAAACATAATTTCTACACAATTAAAGATTAAATCACTATAAAAGCGATAAAAGGGATAAAAGTAAATATACCGGAGCGAAACCCTAGGAGAGGCGTTTCGACCTTACCCACCCAATTTAAATTGGGATTTTTGGAGTGTTGATGGGCAGTTGACTGATTTTGACCAATTTCACCAAGAGATCCTGCTTGCTTATGCGCCAGCAGCTTCACGTGAAATCAATTGCCAACTCCTGTGCTCCAAAGTCAAGCCTCCAGTTGAGTGAACACGGTCAACACCTCCAAAGCTAGCTCCGCTCCAGATTAAATCCAGTCTAGCAAACTTGCAGGCCAACAATCAGCCCACTTTCTCAAGCCCAAAGCTCACAGCCGTTTCCAGCAGTTCGCCCAGCAAGTCCACGCGTCCAAGTGCAGCAACTCTACGTGTCTACTTTCAGCAACTCAAGACCAGCGACCAGCCTAAAAAATCCAGTCCAGTTCTCAATCTCCAGCGACGAACCAATTTGTGGGGTGAAGAACCACCTGCGGCAGTGAGCTAGACCCCCAGCGACGGACCTCCCTGCGACGGAATTACAGATCCGACCTAGAGCTCGGCGATGGACGGCGATTCAGCAGCACTAACCGGCGATTGACGGTTCCAGCTACCTCCGGCGAACCAGCTCCGGCTCCAACGCAGATGGATCTCCAGGCGACGATTCCAGGAAGAAGCTCCAGACGACGAGCGAGGTAGGGCAGAACACCGGCGATGGTTCTCAGGTAGGCGGCGGCTCCAGCGGCGAACAAATCGGCGAGCAACGATCTTTCCAGACCTCGAATTGATGGCGGACGGCGGCGGACGGCGGCGGACGGCGGCGGACGGCGGACGGCGGCGGACGGCGGCGGACGGCGGCGGATGGCAGAATCCGGCGAAAACGACGGAGAAGACAACACAAGCTTTGATACCACTGTTGGGTGTGTATTTCAGCTCAGGTCTCCAACCAAAACAACTCACACACACCACCCAGGATTGTTTAGCCACTCCACTCACCTAGTTCTAGCCTTTTCTCTCTTACCTCTCAAGCTTTCACGCACCAAGAGGAAACTCTCTCAAAGAAGAAGACTCAAGCCAAACACTCACTCACACCCCACTGTATTGTCCGCACCACACCTCACAGAAAGAAGTTGCTAACTTGTTAATATAATAGAGGAAATGTCCTCAATTATCAAGGTAGGGAATACAAGACAAAACACCAACAGACAAGCTGCAATGGATAGGTAAGGCCACAGACCCAAAAACTGAATTATTAGGAGGCAACGATAATACAACTGGCCAAGGAGTATGGTCACAAGAGATATAAGAGAGATGGCTAAACATAGGGTGCATGCCTTAACATAATAAGTGGAAGGGAGGCCTTGGTAGGACCAATACCTCCAACATGACAATCAAGATGATAATGTCTTTTGGGGGGGAGAATGGAGCGAGAGACTTGTATTGCTTTTATGTATTAGAAGAGAACACAATTTTCACTGTGTATAAGGCTCTTTATGATTTAATTCATCGAACCAAAATTTCATTAAACATCAAGATATTACACACATATATTTTTATATCTCATATTCTCATCCTTGGAGAAGTACTCCATCCGTCCCGTAAAATAGTTCTCGGGTTCCTTTTTGGGCCGTCCCAAAAATAGTTCTCATTTCCCCTTTTGGAAAGTTTTGTGTAGTTCACATTCATTTATTTTTTTCTTACAAAATCACAACCGTACATTTCTACTTTATTTCCACTTTCTTAAACTCTGATCCAAGTCAATGTGGAAACTATTTTATGGACGGAGGGAGTATATGTATATTATATACATGTTGGTCTGGTATTTACAATTTACTATTCACGATTTTGAGGGGTTCTTATGTAGGATATTTTTTCCTAATTCCTCCGTCCCTCAATACTTTGTCATGTTTGACCGGCCCGGGAAATAATAAAGTAAAAACTGCGTGGTTGAGGTATGTGTAGATGATAGTGCAATAACAGGAACCACAAATTCATTGATTAAAAGAAAACGTGACAAAATTTTTGGGACATCTAAAAAAGGAAAGATGAGAAAGTTATAAGGGACGGATGGAGTATTATAAATGAACTCTTTTAAGTTGGAATCGTGTATGATCATTTTAAAATGGTAAGTCCAAGAAATGATGATCGGAATTTAAATGTAAAAAATGGCGGTAATTAAAATGAGAAAAAACAATTTCAATTCAATGGACAAGGGAATTATGACAAATAGTGATGCGTCAAGGGAGACACGAAGAGCATTGTTTGGACAAATAAGCCTTTTCACATTAGGATTGATGTGGGCTGCAATTTGAAGACATCAAAATTCAAAAGTATTCCATATATGGTCCAATACTCCAATCAAGCCTTCCAACATATAGCTAGCTAGATTATACTTGTATCATCCAACATAGTAAGCTGCAATTCCAAATATAGTTTCACTCAAAGACTGTTCCTATTCCTCAATGTCATCCTCCTCTAGAAGATGATTTAAAGGAACTTTAGCTTACTTAGTTTCCTTCAAAATTTCATCGTCATCTGCTTTTCTCTTGAAAGATTCGTCATCTTTCACGTCCCCTTCTTCACCAGCTTTGACCTCAGAGACTTCTTCATTATATTTTCTTCTTCCAAGGGATGCAGGTTGGCTTCATCACCGTTTTCTCCACTCTTAATAGAAGTGGTTTCACATTGGCGCAGAAATGATTGGAGGCAAGATCCAAGGGCTTGTCGTCTACTTTCAGGAAATGTTTGGAAAATAAAACTGACAATAATACAACGCCGTAGTAAGTGAAAATCTCTAGGCTAGCATCCGTATAACTTTTTCATATCACAATCTCACACAGAGCCTCTACTAAATCTTCATATGCTGCTAGCTAGTAGCTAGAGTTCTTAATTCCAACTAGCAAATTGGGAATACAAAAAAAGAAAAAGTTAATCATAGAGTTTTTTTTTTTTTTTGCGAATACAATGTAAAAGGTTGGTCAAAACATTAATTAATACGTAGTACTAAAAAGTTAGTCGTCTCCTTTACTTCATTGGTGCCTGCTTTAATTTGTTTTTAACACTAATGTTTGTGCATTTCTTCACTAGCTAATAAATAATTCACCAAATATATTCTCCGTCCCATTTTGGTTGTCCTACTTTCCTTTTTGGGTTGTCCCAAAATGAATGTCTTGTTTCCTTTTTTGGCATGAAATATGTGTTTCTTATGAATCCACTTTATTCTACTCAAATCTCAACCACAACTTTTACTTTTCAACCACTTTATTAATAATCGTGCCAAATTGAAAGTGGACAACCATTATGGGACGGAGGGAGTATGCTTTGTGGTGTTTTGTTTTTATCACTAGATTTCAAAGTTAATATACAAATTTAATTACTTTTTCAAAATTAAACATATATAGCTTATTAGTTTCATTTCAAAAATAATAATTCGTACCACGTAATTATATATCGAACATTTTTATGCCATGCTTTAATTGGCTTAACCTTAATTATATGTGCCGAGAGAACACTTTACTAGTAGTATAAAATACTACGTGTCTACGTATAGTGCAATATATATGCACTTTATTTTAAGATCGTGTTTCAAGTGAATTGGTAGTGGCACATGTGTATATAGATCGTGTTTCAAGTAAAGCAAATTAAATAGAGAGGATGGCAACCAAAGTAAGGGAAAATGGAGACTAATAATCCAACCTTTTAGCGGTCTTCTTTCAATAATCCCACCTTTTGATTATTCATGAATAATCCAACATTTGCACCTCATCTTCATTCATTGGTTCCTGGTCGTTTAATGACCTACTATTCCAAGTTATTTTCTTATCTTTCCAAAATATTATCTTTGTGAAAGATGAGATTTATGGTATAATGATTTGCAAAGATAAGAAAATAGCTTGGAATAGCAGGTCATCAACCGGTCAGGGACCAGTGAATGAAGATGAGGTGCAAAGGTTGGATTATTCATGAATAATCAAAAGATTGGATTATTGAAAAAGACCGCTAAAAGGTTAATTGGATTATTAGTTTCCATTTTAATTTCCCCCAAAGTAATGAGGAGGAGTATATCGAAATGAAACAACATGCAATTGTAAATTTGTGTGTGTGTATACTACCTCCGTTCTCTTTTAATTGCAACATTAGACTTTTTGCATTATTCACATATTCTACTTTGACTATATTTTATTTATTAATGTATTGTAAATTAAATTTTTAAAAAATATTGTTAAATTCTTCTCATTCAATATTTTCAAAATATGAAATTTTAAAACTTTTTACTAACAAGGAATGAAAGATATTGATAGTCAAATCTGTGCGTTGACAAACGTGAAATGTTGACTGTTGCAATTAAAAGGAAAGGGAGGAAGTATATGATTATATATGAACTTATATATATGATTATATATGAACTAGTGGAATACCAATTTCAGTTTCACAAACACAAACACAAGTACATAACATATACCCTGTATAAGGAACGTACAATAATACAAAACGAGAAGAGCATCGGCAGAAAAGAATGATCAAAACATATACGGAGTACTACAGTAGTATTAAAAAGTAACAATTTTGTACTGTAATTAGTTAACTACGCACCAATATGAATTTCTCAAGCACAGATAATACAAGGAACAGTACAATAACAACTAAAGAATACATGTATATATACACATATATAGAAGCATGAACGGAAAGAGTTATCATATCGATCAAAAGATATCATTATATGAAAAAAATCAATCAACAATAATTTTATTGAACCTCGTAATAAAATACATAATAAATGTTATACGTAGTAGCATTTCTGTCATGCCCAAAGGCCCGCAATAAGCCAATGCCGCAGATAGAGACCGTGTTAAGTTGTAATTACTAACTAATTAAGTGATTAGGGCACTGGCCGGGCCGGGTCGGGCCAAACCCGGATATGTAGGCATGGATGATATCTACAAGACAACAAGCGATAACCATAGTTCGCCGTCAACTCGGACGAACCATATTTGGACCTTTGTACCTACGGCGAGTCCAAGGCTGCCCTTAATTTCGTTCCACTTGTGGGTCACCATTAATGACATGCTGCTTTTCCCGATCCCCCATCTCCGAAGGTGAAGTTCCGGCTTTATTATGATTTCGCCATTGACGGCCGCGATGAGCGCCACGTCGAGTGAGCCCACATTCTTGCCATTGTTCTGGCGCGTGGCCAGCCGCTCCTCCTCTTCCGCCGTCAAGAAATCCGTCCGTCTCAATTGTTTCAAAGGGAGGGCCAGCCGGCCTTCGTTGCGGTTCAAATCGGTCGCCGTTATCTCCTTTTCAATCAGCAGCATCTCCTCCGCTATCTCCGCGCCTGGCCCCGCCAGTTGACGGATCCCGCCCCTGAATCTCTCCGGCATGGGCCCTGCCTCAGCTGCAGCCGGTTGCTGGTTTTCGTCGCCGATGACCCGCTTCTTCATTTTCTTGGCCGCCCTTTTCTTCCGGTTGCCGGCCGGTCCTCCTCCAATTGACACTCTTTTGAAGCCGGAGACGCCACATTTCAAGACGGAATCTGCCGCCATAAAAACCTCATGACTTGTAGTACTTCTATTAGGACGGCTCCTCTTCCTCCTCGGGATAAATACTGATTTAGGAAAGGAGGAAGAAGAAGAAGATGAATTATTACTGTTTGTGTTTTTCTCCAAAACAGCCCCACAGACGGCGGCGAGGACGTCCAAACTGGAATACCCCTCCCGCAGCTGAGCGTACCCTCCGCCTGGAAGCGGCGACAATATCATCTTCCCCACCATGATCGACGATCAATGATTGAATTAAGCGGCGACAATATCAACTTCAACTAATCACTTCTCTACTCTTCTATTTGTGACTGCGGAGAATTGATGTGAGGAGATGGAGAAATGGCAATGAAATATATATAGGTTTTGGAAATGAGAATCCTTGCATAGGGTTTTTTTCTAGTCCGACTTATTCTCCAAATATTTTAGTTTCCAAAATCCAAAGCACAATTAATTATTAGAAACTAGTCATTACACTAGGATTGGGAAACTAGTTGGTTATATAATTTATTACACTAGGATTTGGAATCTCCCAACTGATTTTCTTCGGATGGACTCTTTGCTTTGGGTTCAAGTATTATTCTTCATCGGTCCTCCTCCAAGTTGTTTACAACGACTTAAATTAAAAGTAAAATCATTTAATTACAACGTCTCTAATATTTTTGATGGAATAGTTTTATTTATTTATAAAATAATAATAATAAAATAGTACTGATGCTAAACTGATTTTGGTAAACTGATGCTAAACTGATTTTGGTAAAGTCACAGGTTATGTTACAAACTGGGCTTTGGTGCAGCAGGTGGATGGTGGGAAGAGCAGACATGCTCCAGCCCCTCCTTCGGTTTGGAAAAGACCTGCGCCAGGGAGGTTAAAGCTGAATATTGATGCGGCAGTCAAGGGGAGTCGTAGTGGTTTGGGCTAGCTGGTTCGGGACGACTGACGAGCTCGGAGAATTTGTGGCCGGAGTTTCGAAGTTCTGAGGTGGCCAGTTAGCACCGTTGGAAGCGGAGTTGGTCGGGATTAGAGAAGCTCTTAGTTGGGTGAAGGAAAGAGGCTGGGATTTCATTGATGTTGAATCAGATGCTTCTAAGGCAATCTCAGAAGTTCTTTACGGGTCAAGCGAGTCTTTGGTGGGAGTCATTGCGGAGGATATTAGGGAGTTGAAGTCGAGTTTTACGGAAATTACTTTTTCTCATGTTCGGCGATCAGCAAACAAGGCGGCTCACGAGCTGGCTCAAGTCACTTGCTCTTTGTCTGATTGCACTTCTTGGAATGATTATCCCCCTTCTTTCATTACTCATGTACTGAACATTGATAATATTAATGATAATTAATCTTTTTTCAAAAAAAAAAATAATAATAAAATAGTACTTGATACAAAATCGTATTTTTACTTGGATTGTAATTTGCTGATTTGATCTGATTTGATCTGGTCTGAACTAGTCTAGTCTGGATTCTTTGTATTTTTATAACTATCCAAGCGTGGTCTGGATTGATCTGGTCTAGTTTAATTAGGCCAGATTAAAGTCCAAGTAAAAACATCCTACATCCGCCCCATATAATTCTTCCGAGTTTAAATTGGATCGCAGTTCCAGAAAATAAGAATAAATTGAAAATGTATGATAATGATTAAGTATCCCTAAGATCTAAAATGATAAATGAATACTAGCAACACAAAAAATTTCAAATAGAGAAACTTGAAGATTTTTTTTTGTATACCTCAAAATGATAAGTGACGTGAGACGAATTTTAAAAGACTAGAGGGAGAAACATATTAAGTGTAGACGAAATAAAATAAATATTATTTCTGAAATATTATATAAAAAACTTCTTTACATATTATGAAGCTAAGTGTGTATATTTTGTTTCTTTCCGATGACTCAAAAAGGTATTACATATATAGTACTACGTATATCTTTATATTTTATGGGCTTTTTACAAAAATATTAATAAAATAAAACTTATTTACATGAATATGACTATTAGTTATTACAATAATGTTGTGTCATAGTAACATAGGTTTAAAAATGGAACATAATTTACTATGATTTCATAACTACTATAGTCACAAATCACATCTTTGTAAAGCTAAGAGTCTTCATTTTAGTCATAAATAGGCTAAAGGATCGGCCCATGTACCTGTTCGGAATGCTCAATTCGCACTCTGAACTCAAAAAAGCTCCAATTGATCACCTTCTGACTTCGACAAAAAAGTTCAAATCTCACTTTTTGCAGGTGAGTTTCCGGTCATTGCCACGTCAGCCGGTTAGATGTCAACCGTGCATACCACATGGAAATCTAAGGGTCAAATAGACCCTGAACCCGACAAAGTTGTTCAATTTACTCCTCAATTGTTAAAAAGTGTCCAAATTGCCTATAAAAAATAATAAATAGAAACTAGAATATAACAATATAAATATATACAAGTTCATAATATAAAATATATAAGTCTATTTATAATATGACAATAAATTATTTATATTCTAGGGTAAATTAAATATATAAAAATATAAGGAAAATAATTCGCAAAATACAAAATTTAATATTAATTTGTAAAAAAAATGCATGGTTGATTTTTTTAAATGGATTTAAAATATCAAAATATTTTTGATGAATTTTTTTATGTGAATTTCCGCAAAAAATTAGGATATATTTATATTTATATTTACAGTAAATTCATATACTTTTCATTAAAACTTTTCATTAAAGAAATTCATTAAAACTTTTCATATTTTTAATATGTTTTAGATTTATATGTAAAATTACACACACACACATGCATATATGTATATATACTTCGTATTTTTTTATTCTAGAATTATATACTACATACTATACTTCATACTAATTATATGCAACATAAATATATACATACATACATACATATATATATAAGAGGAACTTTTTAAGAGCATACAAAGCGCCACATAATCCTTCCATGTCATTATATATAACAATTATTTAGTTATTTTTATACCTTTTGTTTTTATTAGATTCTGTTTTTAATTGGGTATTGATATTGATATGGAAACAAAAGATCATAGAAATCCACCTTAATTAATTTGGTAACTTTTTCAACACCTATTACGTATTTGATAAGTATTAAATTCAGTAATTGGAACTAGAATAACTAATAACCAAATTTTAAAAAGATTACTTCTAATCAAGTAACTTACCATATTAAATAAGGATTAAAATTGATATCATACCTAAATATATGTATATGTATATATATTTTCACAAGTAAATACGTTTAGCCTAACCACAAAAGTATATATTAGTACAATTTAAATATGACTTAACTTTTGAAATAGATTCCTAATCCAAATTAGGAAATATGTATATGTTTAAAAATTCCTAACTTTATTCAGCAGCAGCAGCCTCCACGGTGATAACCTCAAGGGGAGGACTGACCTTAGCATTTGGATCTGCCGGAAGATCATTTGAGTGGCTGGAAGATGGGTCCTAATGGGATTAACAGTAGTGTCAATCACTTTATCTTTACCCTTTTGTGATATTTGCTTAATCACCCATTTGTTTTTGGGGCTCTTGCTTGTCCTGAGTTATTGGGGGATTGTTAAGGGCCTTGGTACAAGATCTCGTCCAAGACCGGAGAGGATTGAGAGAGGAATGTGAAGCTATGGTGTCTGGAATAACAAACACAAACTTCCTGCCATGGGCAAGGAAGGTGATCACTGGTTCCACCAAAAGATCAAAAGATTAAATATTCCAAATCTAATCTCATTAATCCAACTGATAAGCCTTAAATAGGAAAAAGACAAGTTTCCTATAACAATAATAGGAAAGAAGCAATAAAGAGGTTTCTAAACAAGTATAAGGAAACCTTAATAAATAAACTCAAAGTAGGGAACTGATTTTATTAATTAAAATAGACTCAAAATAGGAAACTGATTTAATTAATTAAAATAATTAGGATCTCTCAATCTGGTCCCTTCTTTGACCGCCTCTGGTAGACTCTGCCAAATCAACCCATATCAGGATCTTGATTGCCTTCATACTAAGTAGCACGGAAACGGGAAACGGGAAACATGAAACGGGAAATGGGAAACACGAGAAACATAATTTCTAAAAAATATAGGACACGAAACGTGGGGGAAACGCGTAAATATTATAAAATATAAGGATATATTTATAAATATTTTTTAATATATGTACACAAGTTTTTTCATATGCACATGTTTTTTAATATAATTTGTTTAGTAACCAAATAATAAAATCACTCTACATGTTCGAATTTAGATATTATTTCATATTAGTACATAAATAAACATAAAATGTACGGAGTAATACATTTCTAGCAATACATTGCGTTACGAAATGTAACAAGTGTTGCCGCTGAGAAATACCACAAAATTCACTATAAAAAATTATTTTCCACCACATAATCTTTTGAAAAAGAAAAAAAATTGGAATCCGAGGTTTCCGAAACGTAGTGAAACGGGTTCCCAAATTTTTCTTAATTACGGAAACGGCCCCGAAATGGGAATTTGAAGTTTCCGAGTTTCCGAAACGCTTATGAGTTTCCGAAACGTGGAAACGTGAGCCATGGAGAATTTCCGTGCTTCCTAGCCTTCATATATTTTGAAGGCACATTGATCCTGGTTCTAGAGTAATGACACAATGTCACCCTCCCATGTGATCAAGGGTATGGAAAAAGAAATGTTCGTGTTGTAATTTGATCACTCTACTAAATTTATAAGAATGAAATAGGCATCCTGAATACAAGCTTTATTCCAACCCCTACCCACGACTAAGGATGGACCATACCCGGGTTGACCGGCCCAGCCCGGTACTGTATAGTATCGACTCGACCCGCGAACCGAGATCTGGACCGGGTCAACCGGCTCGATGAGGGGGTTTTCAGGGCGGGCTCCGGGTGCAGGAAAATGGGGACCGGTGCCCCCCCTGGTTTGGGCCTATGGTAGGCGGGCTGGGTGTTATGGCGGGGTTTGGGGGTGGAGGGTTGGAATAAATAAGAAAAACAAAAAAATCCAAGAATCAGCCCGACCCGGTCCCGGTAGAATCCCGGGCAGGTACCAGGCCTAACCCTAACAGATTTTGTCCTGGTTTGGACCGGCCCGGGCCGGTACCGCCGTACCGGTCCATGCCTACCCATGACAGAGCTAGCTATTGTCCGGGTCCGGTTCCGGGTTGGCCCGGCTGGGTCTAAATTTTTTGGGGTGAAGCCTAGAACCAGCCCGGGATACTATCGGGACTAGACCGGCCCGGTCTACCCGCTCTGGTATCAGGTCGGGTCGGGTTCGGGTATTTTTTTTAATTCTTGTTTATAAATTAATTTAAGAATAGCTACATATAAAAAACTTAAATGTTGAGTTTAATCCAACACGATATAGTAAATATATGTATGAACACTCAGTTTTTACGTGGAAACCCGAAAGGGAGAAAACCACGGGACTTTTTAGGCTAATGTCCAAGCCCTCTCATTCTCATTAGGACTCTCCTCACCATTACATAGTACATTTTGAACTCCCATCAATGGAGTATTTGAGCTATTCTAAAGGAAGAAGGAAGAAGGAAGGGATCCTTTACATGGAGGCTAAGCTCCGTATTTATAGAGAATAGGGGAAGGGGATGCTCTCCACCCTAATGGGCCGCATGGGCCGGAGTGGGCCCAAATGGCTAAAGTGGGCCGGATGGGCCGAAATGGGCCTAGCTGCTCGGGCTCCGTACTACGTAAAGCCTTGGACTCCTGAACAGTAATAGGCCGGGATAATATATCCCAACACAAGTCCCCCAGTTTCTTGAGTAGTGAGCTCGCGAATCTGCTCGAGAAAATATACTCTGCCTGCGCTCTTCCTCTGTCTTGCTGGAAACTGTGTCTTCACATAATCATAATATATGAGTGAGTGTCTGCACTCCTGAACGTAATCTGCCGGTGAGGCACCCCCCTTCTCAACAGGGTCGGGCGAAGGGTGCTCCTCCACGGGAACACTCCCCCTGAATGCGTCAGGCGGGAGTAAGGACTCTGACTCGAGCTTTCCAATCGGAGAAGCTTAGAGGTCCATGCATCTATAAACCGACGTCGCGGTACTATCAAAACACGATGCACGTGTGTATGTATGAATGTATGAGGTATGATGCATGAATGTATGTATGCATGTAATGTATGTATGTAATGTATGAGAGAGGGAATGCAAGATGTGATAGAAGCAGTAGCCCTCATCGATAACCCGGGCATGTCAGCGCCGAGAAGCAGACGTGCTGCGTAAGACGGGTCCCCCATCCGAGGTGGCATGGGCGGAGCCGAAGGTGGACTAGACATGATGCCTCCGAGGGGCCAATCATGCTGCATACGACGGGTCCCCCATCCGAGCTGGCATGGGCGGAGCCGGAGGTGAACTAGACATGATGCCGCCGAGGGGCCAATCGAGCTGTATAAGAGATGTTCGTCGCCATCCTGGAAGGGATGGGCGAGCCGAACACGAGCCAGACACGATGGCGCTGGGGCGCTGATCGTGCTGCATATGAGACGTTCGTCGCCATCCTGGAGGGGATGCGTGATCCGAATGTGAAAGAGACACGATGGCGCTGAGGGGCCGATCGTGCTGCATAAGACGGTCGTCGCCATCCTGGAAGAGATACGCGATCCGAACGTGAAGGAGACACGATGGCGCTGAGGGGCCGATCGTGCTGCATAAGACGGTCGTCGCCATCCTGGAGGGAATGTGCGAGCCGAACCGTGAAGCCAGGTACGATGGCGCTGGGGGGCCGATCGCACTGCATGAGACGTTCGTCGCCATCCTGGAAGGGATGCGCGATCCGAACGTGAAAGAGACACGATGGCGCTGAGGGGCCGATCGTGATGCATAAGACGTTCGTCGCCATCCTAGAGGGAATGGACGAGCTGAACGTGAGCTGGGTACGATGGCGCTGAGGGGCCGATCGTACTGCATAAGACGGTCGTCGCCATCCTGGAGGGAATGGGCGATCCGAACCGTGAATCAGGACACGATGGCGCTGAGGGGCCGATCGTGATGCATAAGACGTTCGTCGCCATCCTGGAGGGAATGGGCGAGCCGAACCGTGAGTCTGGACACGATGGCGCTGAGGGGGCCGATCGTGATGCATAAGACGTTCGTCGCCATCCTGGAGGGAATGGGCGAGCCGAACCGTGAGTCTGGACACGATGGCGCTGAGGGGCCGATCGTGATGCATAACACGTCCGTCGCCACCCTGGAAGGGAATGGACGAGCTGAACGTGAGCTGGGTACGATGGCGCTGAGGGGCCGATCGTACTGCATAAGACGGTCGTCGCCATCCTGGAGGGAATGGGCGAGCCGAACCGCGAATCTGGACACGATGGCGCTGAGGGGCCGATCGTGATGCATAAGAGATGTTCGTCGCCATCCTGGAAGGGATGGGCGAGCCGAACACGAGCCAGACACGATGGCGCTGGGGCGCTGATCGTGCTGCATATGAGACGTTCGTCGCCATCCTGGAGGGGATGCGTGATCCGAATGTGCAAGAGACACGATGGCGCTGAGGGGCCGATCGTGCTGCATAAGACGGTCGTCGCCATCCTGGAAGAGATACGCGATCCGAACGTGAAGGAGACACGATGGCGCTGAGGGGCCGATCGTGCTGCGTAAGACGGTCGTCGCCATCCTAGAGGGAATGTGCGAGCCGAACCGTGAAGCCAGGTACGATGGCGCTGAGGGGCCGATCGCACTGCATAAGACGTCCGTCGCCACCCTGGAAGGGATGCACGATCCGAACGTGAAAGAGACACGATGGCGCTGAGGGGCCGATCGTGCTGCATAAGACGTTCGTCGCCATCCTGGAAGAGATGCGCGATCCGAACGTGAAAGAGACACGATGGCGCTGAGGGGCCGATCGTGCTGCATAAGACGGTCGTCGCCATTCTGAAGGGAATGTGCGAGCCGAACCGTGAAGCCAGGTACGATGGCGCTGGGGGGCCGATCGCACTGCATAAGACGTTCGTCGCCATCCTGGAAGGGATGCGCGATCCGAACGTGAAAGAGACACGATGGCGCTGAGGGGCCGATCGTGATGCATAAGACGTTCGTCGCCATCCTGGAGGGAATGGACGAGCTGAACGTGAGCTGGGTACGATGGCGCTGAGGGGCCGATCGTACTGCATAAGACGGTCGTCGCCATCCTGGAGGGAATGGGCGATCCGAACCGTGAATCAGGACACGATGGCGCTGAGGGGCCGATCGTGATGCATAAGACGTTCGTCGCCATCCTGGAGGGAATGGGCGAGCCGAACCGTGAGTCTGGACACGATGGCGCTGAGGGGCCGATCGTGATGCATAAGACGTCCGTCGCCACCCTGGAAGGGAATGGACGATCCGAACCGTGAATCAGGACACGATGGCGCTGAGGGGCCGATCGTGATGCATAAGACGTTCGTCGCCATCCTGGAGGGAATGGGCGAGCCGAACCGTGAGTCTGGACACGATGGCGCTGAGGGGCCGATCGTGATGCATAAGACGTCCGTCGCCACCCTGGAAGGGAATGGACGATCCGAACCGTGAATCAGGACACGATGGCGCTGAGGGGCCGATCGTGATGCATAAGACGTTCGTCGCCATCCTGGAGGGAATGGGCGAGCCGAACCGTGAGTCTGGACACGATGGCGCTGAGGGGCCGATCGTGATACGGAAAAATAGTGATGATCATCTCATGGCCCTCGGCCTGTAGTGAGTGGTAATCGTCTCACGGCCCTCGGCCGTGCTGGTGATGTGTCAAGTCTCTATCCTGATTGGCTGTGAGAAGCCGATCTTCTGAAATAAATCTGGGCGATGTCCCTCCTATCTGATCTGGGAAGCTAGTCTTCGTTCGTCTACCGTATCCGTGGTCCTATGTACGGACCGCTAAGCAGTGCACACTCGGCACGCACAGACTCCGGTAAAGAACTGGTCCATCGTGTCTGATCCATGGAGCTGGTCTTCGTTCGTCTACCGTATCTGTGGTCCTATGTACGGACCGCTAAGCAGTGTACACTCGGCAGGCACAGACTCCGGTAAAGAACTCGGTCTTTGTTCTTCCCAAGTCTCGTGAGTACTGGTCTCCTGGTTTCGCAGGAGACGTTCGCCATCCCAACTATGAGAAGAAACGGGTTTATCCACGTCGGGATTCCCTATTCTTCGTTCGTCCCTGTCGTGGTCCTACTAACCTTCTTACTTCGAAGAAGACGTTCGGTCATCCAACGATCGCAAGGAGGAACAGGTTTATCCACGTCGGGATTCCCTATTCTTCGTTCGTCCCTGTCGTGGTCCTACTAACCTTCTTACTCCGAAGAAGACGTTCGGTCATCCAACGATCGCAAGGAGGAACAGGTTTATCCACGTCGGGATTCCCTATTCTTCGTTCATCCCTGTCGTGGTCCTACTAATCTTCTTACTTCGAAGAAGACGTTCGGTCATCCAACGATCGCAAGGAGGAACCGGTTTATCCACGTCGGGATTCCCTGCTTCGTCGCCCCGTGCTCGTGGCCCTACTAGCCTTCTGCTCTGGCAGAAGGTGTTCGTCGAACCACGGGTCATGGGAGGAACTGGTTTATCTTGCCGAGGTTCCCTTTGGTACGTCTAGCCCCCCCCCCCACGTTCCTACTAGCCTCCGCGTCGGGAGACGTTCGTCATACGCGGCGAAGGAAGATCAGGCATACCTCGTCAAGACTCCCTCTCTCATAGGATCTCGTCTCCCCTTCTCCCCATTTTTTTTTTTTTTTTTTTTTGAGGGAGGAAAATACGTTCGTCGGTTTCCAAGAATGGCCACCAGTGATGTCACACGTAATGGTGGTGGGATACCAACATGAAGCGGATGACGAGGCGATGGAAATGCTGGTCGTCATGCGAAGGCGATGGTCTCCCTCCTGGAGGGGAGGGGTGGGCCCGATCGCTAACTCAAGAAGGTCGGCATCGGGAGCCGATATACAATGATCATAATGTCGCTGAGCAGTCGGTCCTGATAATGGAGATGGCAATAGTGTCCGGTCAGGCCGATATATCCGAGCAACGGCTCTCATCCAACACAGAGCGGGGATGAAACCGGTCTTCAAAAGATAAATACGTCGTGCCGAGAGGCCGAACATGATAGTGTCGGCAGTGAGAGGCCGACCTGAAAGAATCAAACAACGGTCCTCGTCCGCGAGGTGGCGGGGACGAGGCCGGTCTTCAAAAGATAAGCACGCCGAGCCGAGAGGCCGGTCGTGGTATAATGGTGTCGGCAATGAGCGGCCGATCTGAGAAAATCAAGCAACGGCTCTCATCCGCGCAGCGCGGGGATGATACCGGTCTTCAGGTGGTAAACACGTCGTACCGCGAGGTCGGTCGTGATATGACAGTGTCGGCAATGAGAGGACGATCTGAAAGAATCAAGCAACGGCCCTCGTCCGCGAGGGCGGGGACGAGGCCGGTCTTCAAATATGATAATCACGTCGGGCCGAGAGGCCGATCGTGATATATAATGACATCGGCAATAACAGGCCGACCTGAAATCCAGCAACGGTCCTCACCTGCGCAATGCGGGGGACGAGGCCGGTCTTCAAAAGATAGGCACGCCGAGCCGAGAGGCCGGTCGTGATATAATGATGTCGGCAATGAGAAGCCGATCAAGTGTATCCGTGCAACGGCTCTCACCCGCGCAGCGCGGGGATGATACCGGTCTTCAGGTGATAAACACGCCGTACCGTGAGGTCGGTCGTGATGTAAGGATGGTCCCACGACCCTCGGCCGTAGTGGTCTCCTCTAGGCCACCAGCTCCTGGGGTGGAGATGCTCGTATCACGGCTCTCAGCCGTGATGGTTTCCTCTTGGCCCTCGGCCTCTGGACGATGGATGATCGTCTCACGGTTCTTCGCCGTGGCAGTTCCCTCTGGACCCTCGACTTCTAGGTGTTCTTCCTAGGCCATCGGTCTCTGGGGTGGAGATGCTCGTCCCGCGGTTCTCAACCATGGTGGTCCCCTCTTTAGCTGGCCCTGAACGTCTTCAAGACTCGGGCCAAGCGTCTTTTAATCATTTCACTCGAGCGCGTCGAGTGGCTTCAGCTGCGCAATAAGCATGATAACGGGCCGCACGGCCCGACAATATGTATACACACAACCATCTGCACGGCTTTCCTTTTAACATCCACGATTACCGGCCTATGGGTCATCGTGACCCTCGGCCCGGCTCATCGTGCGGGGTTAATGGACGTAGCAGCTCGCGGCGAGGCCAATTAGCAGCCCGCCGAACGTCACATAGAAATATCCATTGGTCTGTGAGTTTTCAAACTCAGACCCAAGTTGGTCGCAATGCCCTCGAAAAAACGAGGTTGAGCGCTTCGGTGCCCTCGGGCCCCACAGGCCGCGTCTGGCAATTGTCACTTCGAGCCTAATGGCGTAGATGATACTGGGGTACGATCGTCAATCGGGCACGTAGTGCCATGCGGACTAATGCACAACCCTCAAATTAAAATGCGTCGTCGGGGCATCGCCCTTCTGGAGACGCTCGAATCGCTTAATCAAGCCGATCGAGGGTGGGCCATCAGGCCCACAAGAAATTAAATATTCAATAAAATGTTGGCTGAACCAACCATCATCAGAGCTTCGCTCCACATTATTTAATTCGGGATATTTTATCCCTAATAAATAATAGCTAGTGATATAACAGGTAATAGTAATGATACTATCCTACCAAAGATCATTGAGATACGCTCCGTTCGCTAATTAAAGCCGATCAGGAGCGGGCCGACGGGCCCACAACACCCAGTCGTCCAATTTAAATGACGGCGACTCAGTTATCACTTAGAGCATTGCTCTCACTATTTAATTTTGGGATTTTCAATCCCTAATAGATAATGGTGATACAAATCAATTGCAATATTAATCATGCTTCATTATTCGAATACTTTAATAAAGGGAGTAAGTGGCACTTAGCTTCCAAGTTAAAGACTCCGCCAGTAACGAGGCTATGTAGAGCCAGATTTGCTTCCCTTTTATCATGTTGTGCAGACCGAGCTGCTGGTCAACTCTTCCAAAGCAGCCAGCCTTCCGTTCTTGGTCCCAAAACTTGTGGACGTGGTCAGCTTCAGACCAAGGCATTTACGCGGAGTGTACCTCTTAGGACAGACAGATGGAGCAGCCTTCTACCAACCCATAAGCAGGCTGCACGTGCCGGCCACCTTCCGCAGGTGGAGATGGTGGTCGCGGCAGAGCAAGGCCGGCCAGAGGGCGTAGTTTCGTTGGGAGATCTTTTGAGCTTCGGATTTTACTTCCTTTGAGCCTAAAAAACACCATTAATGGCGGAAATCAAACTCCCAGTCGGTAGGTCCTCAGGTCAAAGCGGTCGAACAGGATGGCTGGTGGAGGCTCACCCCGCGACTGACCAGGCGGAGGGGTAGTCGGTGGTTGTCCTCCGGCGGCGAGCGGCAGTGCAGCGACTTTAGGCGGCAGAAGCAGCTGCGCGTGACGAGCAACTGTGTTGCAGGTGCTATGAGATTTGGGGTGCTTAAGCGAGCTTTTTCTGGTGCCGGCTAACACCACGGAGGCTCCCTGCCGGCGGGTACGGCGATGGCTCCGGTGACTTCAAAACAGATCTGGAAACAAAAATCCAGATTTGGCTCCCCAATTTCTGTAGCTTCCTCGTTTCTTCTTCCCTCAGAGCCATTTCTTTCCTTTTTTATTTTCTGGAATCCAGTTCATCCGTATGATTGTTTTTTTTTTTTTGTAGAAACTCAAGAACAGTAGAACACATGAATCTTTTTGGACAGATTCCCACAGACGGCGCCAGTGTTGAGTTTAATCCAACACGATATAGTAAATATATGTATGAACACTCAGTTTTTACGTGGAAACCCGAAAGGGAGAAAACCACGGGACTTTTTAGGCTAATGTCCAAGCCCTCTCATTCTCATTAGGACTCTCCTCGACATTACATAGTACATTTTGAACTCCCATCAATGGAGTATTTGAGCTATTCTAAAGGAAGAAGGAAGGGATCCTTTACATGGAGGCTAAGCTCCGTATTTATAGAGAATAGGGGAAGGGGATGCTCTCCACCCTAATGGGCCGCATGGGCCGGAGTGGGCCCAAATGGCTAAAGTGGGCCGGATGGGCCGAAATGGGCCTAGCTGCTCGGGCTCCGTACTACGTAAAGCCTTGGACTCCTGAACAGTAATAGGCCGGGATAATATATTCCAACATTAAAGTATATTTTTTTTTTAATATGAACTACATTTGAGAATTGAGAAAAATTAAAAACATAAAATACATTTTCTAATAAATAATAATCAATCGGAATCTCAGCCACGCGCCCACGCCGTCGATTGTTGTTTCCTCCATAAAGTGGCGGGTGGGGGCGATGCTAAGGTCTTGAGTTCTACGTTGGGCCTTCAACCAATCGTGGAAGCAAACAAGCGTCTCAAGAAAGTTTGCACTCAATCTCGTTCTATAATATGTTATCACATTGCCGGGCACTCTAAATTCTTGTTCCACGACAACTGTTGGTACCGGTATTGCTAGCACTTGCTTAGTCGCCATCTTTGATAAAACTGGGAATGTTCTTTCTTTATCCTTCCACCACTTTAGAATGTCAAAACTAAGTCATCCCCTTCTACATAAGTCAACAGGAAATGTTAGATATATAGAAAGCTCATTAATCAAGCTTTGTTCAACAACGGTAGTTGATTTACTTTTTTCATAAGATTGTCAAAAATTCGAACTACTTTTATTTTTTTTTAAAAATTCAAACTACTTTTATTTTTAAAAATAAAAAATTCAAACTACTTTTATTTTTAAAAATAAAAATTCGAACAACTTTAATAAATACTTAAAACTGACAAATGTGACTTTAAGTAATACGAAATGTAACAATTAACTACTTTTATACTTTAATGTGAAATGTAACAATTAACTAATAAACTAATATTAATAAAAAATCTAACTAATAGGGAATATGTATGAATATGGTCAATATGTATACTAATTAGTGGGAGTGCAAGTGCGTAAGTAATATGATAAATCTAACTAATATTAATTAAACTGTAACTAATATATAATATATTGTTTATAGTATATAATATATAAGTATACTACTATATAAGATGAGTATTACACTTATATTTAATACTTTAATATATATAAGTATATATTAAGTAGATGTAATCACTAGTAGAAAAAGGGCTTATAGTGACACTAAATTAGTGTCGCTGAAAGTTTCTGTGACACTAAAAAAGCGTCGGGAAAAGTGGCGGCTAGTGACACTAAATATAGTGTCACTAATCATAAAACACATTAGTGTCAGCAAATTATGACACAATAATGTTGTACAAAATAATGACACATTGGTATCATGAAATTTTAGTGACACATTTATATCATAAAGACGTTTGATACATTGGTATCACATGTATATAATTTTATAGCATATAATGTTATCACTATTCCTTATAAGTTTTATTACACAAATATTGATAAATAACCAAAACAAAAGATCAATATTTTCATTTAATACCCAAATAGTTATACAGAATATTCAGAGTCATTACAAATTAATTATATTACAAGATGCTATAAATCTACACTTCATACATAACAATCTTTAGTAGTGAAAAGATTCCCTTTTCACACTCTAATCAGTGTATGTGTTCCAAGCTATTACTTGTCACATTCTTCAACGGGTTAATCTCTTTCCAGTTTCCATAGAGCGATGATGTCCATTTTCATTTCCTTCTTCATTTCACGGTTGTTAGCAAGTCTCCAGTTGAACTATTCGGTAAATATAAAGGCAAGGAAGGTATGAAATCTTCTTAGTAGTGGCAAGAACAAGAGGGACATGAATCTATGCCAATTGATCTCAATTTGAATCTGCAGAGAACTGATGGCTTCAAAATGTAAAAAAATCAGAAACAAGTAAACAAATATCACCAAGCATCTCACTCCCCCTTGGTTTCAGAAGCTCTAAAAAAAGATCCAAACTTCACTATCAGTCATGTCATAAACTCAATAATTTGAGTATTCCAAATGTGACTAAAAAGTACTTAATTAATACACACCACAAAAAGTGCAGTATGCATGTGTATGCAGCATATTGATGCAACAAATTTAGGCATCCATTGAGAGTAAAAGGTTCCTATCCACTTGAAAAACTTTTTTAATTTGGGTGAAATATGTGTAATTTTATGATGGAAGAAAAAGAAATTTGAGAAAAATAGAAAAAATGTCAAATTTTAAATTAAACAAAAATATGAGGATCACAATTGAATTACCAAATATAAGATATTATGATGTGCAGAAAGGTTTTAGATGAGTTACCTCTTCTGGTGCTACACAAAGAAGGTAGATACACTGATACGGTGATAGTTCTGCTACAGATTGAATACTTGGAAAAGATGAGACCTCTCCAGGAGAAACTTTCTAACTAAAACGAAAATTCATAAGTATTATATTGATGGTCATAGATAAGTTACAATGATGTGAATACATTTATTAAAAAAATCAATGAGAAAATTCATAAGTATTACTACGTATTATGTACCTGTTTGAGTACACTAACACTTCAAAAAAGAAAGTAATAATCTTAGTCAATAGAGGAATGTATGATGCCTACAAAAGTATGAATGAAGGAAATTTTTAAATAATAGACAAAATAAAGTTGAGAAAGCATACTTCAAGGCAATCTTTGGCAATTTAAAATGGATTAAACCCAATTTAAATTACTAGTAAGCCTGACCTTAAAAGCTACATTATCTAGATAGTGGCCAAGATTGTTTATTGCTTCTGCATATGCACCTAAAAGCTCCAGATCAACAATTGCTAGTGCTCTACCCTGCAAGTATATAAAACCCCATTGTTACTCATCTTTGTTGCTTTCTTACTGCATGGAATGTTTATCAATATAACATGGATGAGGCAGAGTCTTGAGTCTTAATTTGTCGTGTTTTGTTTGTTCGTATACTCCTTCACAAGGAAACTATCAAATTAAACTCATGAGCTCTATGAATTGAGAGAGAAAGTATACATAGAAAAAAATATTCTTGGGAGATGATTAAGGTAGGAAAAAAGTACCTGCTCTTCCCTTGTGAATTGATACTGATCAGCACACAGTTCAACAGATAGTCCCATCCCAAATTCATTGTAAACGTCCCATAGTCCATCTTTGATCTTTCCGTCAATGACAGATTCACGTCCTAACCTCAATCCTCTTCTGTTTTGGAAAGAAAAATCGATTCAAAACTGGTTTTCTTCGATGCAAAAACTAAAAGCCAAACTAAAACCAGAGTATGCAGTGCAATCGAATTGATCGATATGAAAGGAAACAGTTTTGAGGGTTATAAGCCATTTCGGTTTCAGAATATGTGGATTAATCATCACTCTTTTATGAAAATAGTTGAAAACAGTTGGTCTCATTCTCGGAATGTTGGGGGGTGAGAGGTTTCTATAGTCAATTATAGCAGCTTAAACAGGATCTAGGGAAAGGGAATGGAATAAAATGGTTTTTGGTAACATTTTTGAAGTCATAAAAAAGGAGCAAGTGGAATATGTAGAATACTTAAAGTGGAAAATCGTAGCTTTTCTTTTTAAAATATCTTTTGGAAGTATTTCAGTCATTAGTGTTAATAACCAAAAGACTAATTTACACCACTATTCACTTACAAAAACACATAACGGCATTTAGTATGATAAAATTTAGAAAAATCCTAAGTGACCTACAACTCTATATTTTACAAATTTGTTATGTTATTAAATTAATTAGTTTTTGTAAAATCTCAAATATATACCAATATACATACTTTACCGTCCAAAAAACAACAGCCAAAGTTAGTCTTATACTCCACCGCCAATCAGCATAGCAAACCAATGAAAGTTACCATAGAAAAAAAACCAGGATCACTTCATTTTTTTATGTGTTCTGTTTTTTACTTTAAAATGGTATAGTTTAGTCACATCTAGAGAAGTTATGAAGAAAATGACTTGCATTAAGTATGATAAATTTAACCAATTCATCTAAGATAACCTTCATCTAAACAAGTTATTACTACTTTCACTTAAGTTAACCAAATATTATCCAAACAAAAGTTTTATGTATCCATTTGAGTTCAAGTAGTTTATTTTTTACAATTTATCTTCCATACTTGAAGGTACTACAAGTCTCCTAGTACATTTAACCTAAGTGGTTTAAAAAATATAAATGCACAGAATATATTTTGGAGGCAAAAAATGATCTGAGTGATGGGGGCATAAGCTAAAAGAAATTGTAAAACTGTAGAAACCAAAGATAACATAAAGAAAACCAATGTAAAACTTCCTCTTGTTCCATTTTTTCTTTTCCTTTTCTTAGGCTTTTCCACAAACACATAGGCATCAATTTTAAAGTTTTAAACGAAATTAGGGTTTTGAATGCTAGAACAATCCGAAAACTTGCAACATAGATAGAATATGGGACTGAATAAAACTAATACTTTCTTTACCAAGCATGATGTTCATTGATGTGGTTTCCGAGCGCCTCCTCGCTGGAAATTGATTACCGTTGTTGCTTCGTGAGGATGACATGTTGTCGTTCGCTTAGTAGGAGAAGAGGTGCGGCGCATATTGAATCAGTAGTCACTCTTTAGTTTTGACCTAACAAATGACGAAATAGAAAGAAAAATCTACTTGGCTCCCATTTCAAATCAATTGCGCTCTTCAATTTCTTTGAAGGAAATCTCGTCAAGAATACTCAGAATTGATAAAGAACTAACCACTTACCTGGAATTTGAATAGAACCGTTGAGGAAGAAGCACAGACTGGCAAAGGAGACTCGCGAGGATTAAGTTGGGAAGCGATGGAGTTCGTAGAAGGAAGGGAAAGAGATGCGCAGATGTAAACTGATCTGGAATGGGGAGTGAAAAAACCCCAAGGGTTGAAATAGTACTCTGTGGGCCGGCCCGTTATTAGAATGGTTATGATACTCCGTAAAAAGCGTCGGTAAATGACACCGATGTATTTGTGTTAGAAACTAGTGACGTTTATATGTTACTAGCAACATTTTATCAAAAAGTGTCACTATCGAAGTGTCACTGTAAGCCAGTTTTCTACTAGTGAATATGTATTTATTATTTAAGTAGATATTAAGTAGTTAATAAGTATATATTAAGTAGATAATAAATATAAGTAATAATATATATATATGTATTTATAAGTAGATAATTAATATATAAGTAGATATAATAATTGTATAAATAGATAGATGTCGAGAGAATTGGAGAAGATGAAGATGGAGATGATTAAGAGTGTTAGAGAATAGAGAGTAGGAAGAGTTGGAGAAGAGGTATAGAAAATTGTATAGAAAATAGGAGTATTTGTAGAATATTTTTGTACCCCCACCCCCAAACCCCCGGGAGCCCCCCTCCAAGCCTCCATCGACTATATAGCCATTTGGGACCTTTCCCAACGGCTAGCTAGGAGGGTTGATTTTTATTTTATTTTTTCTTTTTAAAAAAAGTAGCCGTTACCGACCTGGTCCCTCATTATTCATCCCCGAAGCCCGTCCCCTCAACACCCCCGGGTTGGTCCTAGGACCGGTCCCGGGCCGGTCAAACTGGTCCGGATCCCGGGCCGGTCAGACCGGTCCCGGGTCATCCCTACCGGTCCATGCCTACCCACGACACAACTAGCCACTGTCAGTTGGATACTAATAGAGTTGATTTTGTATTTATTTATTTATTTAT